GCCACAGCCTGAAATTGGGACTATTACATTTAACAAAACCAGACAGGAGCACGCTGCATTTCGCTCTGTCCTCTGATGACAGACATCAGGGATGTGGCTTAAATGGCACATTGTATATTAAACCTACACAGAGGCGCGAGCCAAGGGTCACCCAACTTCTCTGTAGAGCGCAGGACCCACCGAGATCGCGCAGAGGGTCCCACACACCCCACTCGCTGCTCTGCTAAGACCAGAGCTCCTAAAATGCCCTTTGCAAACTTCCAATTTTCCAAAAGAAACTAATGATCCCATCAGGGATTTTTTCTTAAGTATGTCCAATCTGAGATTTCCGAAAGGATCTGGGTACCCCTCAGGCCCCAAGTCCTCGACAACATAAACTGAGCCCCAAAAGAGCCTATTTAAGCGCAGCCCAGTGTCCTCGCGGGCGTACAGGGAGCAGCTTCAGGTGCAGTTTCAGCTCCTTTGCCYGCCCTCCCCTCCCGAAGCAGCAACGAACAAAAAGGAAACGACAAAAAAAAGGCAGCAGATCACAACGTCACACCGGGATCTCATTTTAAGGACAAATTGAGCACTTATAAAGATATTAAGTATATCATTTCACTTGCTGCATTACTTTAAAATGCTTCTACAGGCCAAGATTAAAAATTAAATATGGATTTTACTACTGCGGTACTGCCAATTCTTACAGAATTATCCATAGACTGCTTTTAAATCTATAATTCAAGGTCCTGAATTAGATAATTATCTGAAATCTCAGGCTGCGCTTTAAAATACAGATATATATATATATATATATGGCCTTCCTGGCCTCATAGTTGTCACAAATTAAAAGGCAAAATAAACTCTGGAAAACGAGGCCCCTCAGAAAAAAAAAAATACAAAAAAATGACCAAGATGCCGCTTTCTTTTCTTTCTGCATCTCATCAAACTGAACACATCTGCTTTGGGGGTGCCTGGCACGTATTTTTTAAATACTTGTGATTGGCAATATCAGTAAGTTCCTGCAGGGGCTTCCTTTTAGCAAAAATAAACATTATGGGGATAGGATTTTTATGGCACCTATCGGCTTCCTCAGTCCTGGGGGCTCCTGCCCGTGTGAGCTATTGCTGCACAGATAATTTTTTTTTTTTCTCCTAATTGAGGATAATATTTGAGGCCAAGTTCAGGCCTCTCCTGCAGTTTAGGCTGAGCATCTCCCAGCGATCTCCCAAGTTTTTAGCCCTTTCCTAAGGTCATTAATAATTACTGAGAAACTCAAGGTGGTGCATTTAATAGGATGCTAAATGTCAGATAAATAAATGCTTATTTTTCCTAACAATG